GCGCCGGATCGGGCGGAGGCGGTCGAGACGGACGACGAGGCGTCCCCGGAGCCCTCTGTGTGACGGCGGCGACGACGTGACTGGCGAGCGTGCCGTCGCCGCCGAGGTCGCGATGGAGAGTCCTCCGCTGACGGAGTGAATGGCGGGGTCATGACCTCTTACGCGGACGCTGCTTCCCGGCATGCACGCCCGTCCACGTCGGCTCGTTCCGCGTCCCGGCGACGACGACGACAATGATGGCAGCGGCGGCTGGTTCGCGGACGCGCTGGAGAGCAGCAGCTGCCTGCCGATCGATCGACAGCGGCTGGAGAGTCTGATCGTTGCCGGACTGGAGCGAGACGACGAGGCAGCGGCGCCACCGTGCGGGGTCGACGTCGAGGGTTGTTGTCGGCGAGACTGGCAGCTTCGCTCCCTCGCAGCTCTAGCCGCGGTCGGACGTTAGGTGGCGATCCGTGCGGGGTGGACGTCGAGGGGTTGTCGTCGCGAGGTTGGCAGCTCGCTCCCTCGCAGCTCTAGCCGCGTATCGGACGTTAGGTGGCGCCGCGTGTCGAATCGCGAGCTGATGTCACCGAATGATGTTTTAACTTGGATTTGTTGCCGGGCATTCTTAATTATGTGCTCGTTATTATGATGAAAATAGGATCGTTGAGATTATAATGATGTGATGCGATCAATTTGTACAGTGAGTTTAGGGACCACTGCCCAGTGGCATTGCTAGTAGTACTGTGTATGGTAATGTGTAGCAGTAGCAGCAGTACTGGCGACGATGTAATTTGCAGGAGTGTATAATAAAGAAAATATATATAAAAGTATAATAATATAAGGAGTGTATAATATCTTTATTATACTGAATATACACTCCTGATATCTGTAATACCAGTGGGTGGTAAAAATTATGCAAAAGCTGAGATGTTAATAGTGTTTTGGTCATATTTCTGGTGTATGTATATAATTAATTCTAATATAAAAAAAGTTATGTAAAAAAAGTGGTTTTGCTACTATTTTGACTTTTTTCATGATAATATGCAGTGAGAGTGTAGAGCTAGCTGTACGATAGACGAGAGTCTGAGATTCTAACCTACACAACGTGAGCATCTTTAACCGGTGACATGATTAATGCTTGTTTTTTACAAAATCTATAATATCACTCAACACAATCATATTCATTGTAATGCCCTTATTCTAGACACCAACAGTAAACGCAAACGATTGTCACAGAATACAAATTACATTACAATATACGAACAAAATAAAATCTTTCAAGTTTAGAAATACAAATTACTGCTAGTACAAGAACTGTAGGTGTCAGCACTATCTAATAGTTTTAACACCTAACCAGAGCATATAAATCACCGCATAATAGTTGATTTAGATGCTCTGACCTAACCAATGTATGATTGGGTTGAGTATAAATACCAAAAAGACAATAACATCTGGAACCTTCTCGATACTTCTCGTCTTACATTTCAAATACTGTCCCCATCCTTCTCAAATTTGGACCTAAGCCACCTGACTAATAAGATACCGTAATGTAGTGTATCAGTCACTGACCATTTACCCTTATTTATAGATGTGACTGATTTAGTCAGGTTAACAAGCAAAACAGCTGTTGCAACTTTATGCGGTAGGCATAATTACGAAAGTCTATGTAATCATCATGCTACATCACTATTTATTAGTAATTTTTTAATTACCTACATAATTTCAAATTACATTTTTTGGTAAAATACTCGCTGCATCAGTGTCGTATGTCCGTGTTCGCTAAACTTTATACATCCAGGTGTGCCCTGGACTTTTAGTAGCGTACATTAAATACAATAATAATAAAATGTGATTATTTATATCTCATCGTATATCAGCGCGCGATGTGGGCGAAGTGAGGGAGGTGTGTCCATACTTCAGTTTCACTGTTAGCTAGGCGAGTGAGGGTAGATATAATGCAGATGATATCGCGCATCTTGAAATACCTGGATTGTACGAACTTATATTACTAGTATCGCTTATCATCTAGATATCTGATTCAATGATGCTAGGGTGACTCATGCCAGTAATGAGCTACGTTGCGTGAGCGCGGGGGGTTCTTTCTAGAGATAACGTATCTCTCGCTGACCTTGACCGACCTTTTTCGGAAATAATGGGTTTCATTGATGCTGACTGCAGGCGATGGATGCTCAGCTGCCAGCTGGGTACCATGCACGCTGCTCTCAGTGTCTCATGGCGGGGGCATGTGGACAGTCGACGCCGCGGGCAGCAGACTTAACTAGCATGCAGGGCAATACACCGGGGTGGTGTGTGTGTGTAACTGGTAATGGCAGGAGTAGTATTCGTACGTAGGTGGTAAGCCTGCGCGAGTGCAATGCTGGCTATGGTGATTTGATGCGAGTGATTGACATTGCAGACTGTTGCTGACAGACATGTGAAGACTCACGATCCAAACAAACCTTTACCAAAGGTGAGAGAGTGTAAAAAATGGGTGAAGAGCGTAAAGCGTGTAACGAGTATTTTAACCCGTTGAGAATAACAGCAATGTTACGATGATCGATCGTGATTACTGTCTGACAATTTTACCTTGCATTCTTAGTTCATGAAGAACAGTCGCACAATGTTTGAATGCACCTGCGGTTTTATCTCTGTATTGCTAACAGTCTTGCAATAAGGATAATAGATTTCATGTTGTTTCCACGTTGTGGTCTAGAAGCAAAATAGCATTTCTACATTCACTCGCTCTCATCGCAGAAGCGAAAGAAAAAGAGCATGGCCGTCATTCTGTCCGGGATCAACCCACCGAGCAAAGGTGGCGCCAGTGTCACCAACACACCGTCGACACGGGTCGACAACGATCGCTGCGAAACGCCGCCGGACCAAGCGAGCCCCGCTTACCGAGAGGTGTCGCCACCTGGCGAGGAAGCGCCGTCGTCATCCTCATGCCGACTCACACCCGTAGGTGGCGCCGCCGGTCGGGCGGAGAGCGGTCGAGGCGACGACGAGGCGTCCCCGGGAAGCCCTCTGTGTGACGGCGGCGACGACGTGACTGAACAAGCGTCCGTCGCCGCCGAGGTCGCGATGGAGAGTCCTCCGCTGACGGAGTGCAATGGCGGGGTCATGACCTCTTACGCGGACCTGCTTCCCGGCATGCACGCCGTCCACGTCGGCTCGTTCCGCGTCCCGCGCGACGACGACGACGATGATGGCAGCGGCGGCTGGTTCGCGGACACGCTGGGAGAGCAGCAGCTGCTGCCGATCGATCGACAGCGGCTGGAGAGTCTGATCGTTGCCGGACTGGAGCGAGACGGCGAGGCGGCGGCGCCACCGTGCGGGGTCGACGTCGAGGGGTTGTCGTCGCGAGACTGGCAGCTCGCTCCCTCACAGCTCTAGTCGTGTGTCAGACGTTAGGTGGCGCCACCATGCGGGGTGGACGTCGAGGGGTTGTCGTCGCGAGGTTGGCAGCTCGCTCCCTCGCAGCTCTAGCCGCGTATCGGACGTTAGGTGCGCCGCGTGTCGAATCGCGAGCATGAATGTCGCGCAGGATGTTTTAACTTGGATTTGTTGCCGGGCATTCTTAATTATGTGCTTATTATTATGATAACAATATGGAATCGTCTGAGATTATAAATGACTGTGATGCGACAATTTGTACAGTGATGTTAGGGACCACTGCCCAGTGGCATTGAGCTAGTAGCTACTGTGTATGTAATGTGTAGGCATAAGCACATACTGGCGAGATGTAATTTGCAGGAGTGTATAATAAAGAAAATATATATAAAAGTATAATAATATAAGAGTGATATATATATCTTTATTATACTGAATATACACTCCTGATTATCTGTAATACAGTGGTGGGTAAAAAATTATGCAAAAGCTGAGATGTTAATAGTGTTTTGGTCATATTTCTGCGTGTATGTATATAGAATTAATTCTAATATAAAAAAAGTTTATTAAAAAAAGTTGGTTTTTGCTACTATTGTGACTTTTTTCATGATAATATGCAGTGAGGTGTAAGAGCTAGCTAGCGTAACGATAGACGAGAGTTGAGATTCTAACACTACACAACGTTGGAGCACCTTTAACTGCGGTGACATGATTAATGTCTGTTTTTTAAAAAATCATATAATACACTGCAACACACATCATATTCATTGTCATGCCTTAATTCTAGACACCAACAGTAAAATCGCAACGATTGTCACAGAAATACAAATTACATTTACAATATACGAAACAAAAAAAATCTTGTCAGTTAGAAATACAAATTAGCTGTAGTACAAGACTGTTAGGTGTCTAGCACTATCTAATATGTTTTTAACACCTAACCAGAGCATATAAATCAACCGCATAAGTTGATTTATATGCTCTGACCTAACCAATGTATGATTGGCTGAGTATTAAATACCAAAAAGAACAATAACATCTTGACCTCTCGATACTTCTCGTCTTACATGTTCACAATACTGTCCATCCGTTCTCAATTGGACCTAAGCCACCTGACTAATAAGATACCGTAATAATGTAGACAGTCATGACCATTTACGCCTTATTTATAGATGTGACTGATTTAGTCAGAGTTAACAAGCAAAACAGCTGTTGCAACTTTATGCGGTAGGCAGTAAAACCGAAAGGTAATTACGAAAGTCTATGTAATCATCATGCTACATCACTATTTATTAGTAATCTTTTTAATTACTACATAATTTCAAATTACATTTTTGGTAAAACTACTCGCTGCAATCCAGTGTGCGTTATGTTCCTGTTTGCTAAACTTTATACAACAGCGTGTGCCTGGACTTTAAGTAGCGAGCATTAAACTCAATAATATAATATGTGATTATTTATATCTCATCGTATATCAGCTGCGCGATGTGGGCGAGGTGAGGGAGGCGTGGTCCATACTTCGTTTCACTGTTAGCTAGCGCGAAGTGAGGGTAATATAATGCAGCATGATATCGCGCATCTTTGAATTACCTGTGATTGTACGAATTTATATCATTACTTAGTATCGCTTGATCATCTAGATATCTACTTCAATTGGATGATTAATGAGTGACTCATGCAGTTAATGAGCTAACGTTGCGGTAGCGGGGGGGTATCTTTCTAGAGATAACGTATCCTGCTCGCTTGACCTTGACCGACGCTTTTTTTCGGAAATAATGGGTTTCATTGATGATGGATGCAGGCGTGGATGCTCAGCGCCGCTGGTACCAATGCACAAGACCAACACAACCTGCCCCAAAACAACACTCAAATACAGATGTCATGGCGGGAACATTGGAACACGATCGAGCAAAAAAAAAAAAAAAAAAAAAAAAAGCGGGCAGAGATGATAAGGCATAGAAAAAAACAGAGCCAAACAAAAAAAACGGGGTGGTGGTGTGTGTGTTGTGTGTGTGTGTGTTGTGTGTGTGTGTGTGCTTCGTGTGTCACTTGTGTGTGGGTTTGGGGGGGGGGGTGGCTGGTTTGTTTATAACATGTGTCAGTCTCATCTACCGGCTGCCTTGTTAGAAGTTAGAAGAGGCAAGGAGAGACTGAGGAAAGCCGGCAGGGAAGATAGCTGAGGGCGGTAGAAGAACAGGAGGGCTGGAGCGAGGGACAAAGAGAGGCATGGGAAGGACGAGAGGGGGATGACCGGATGAAGTAGGAGTTTGCACCCTATCAGGCTAGGGTGCATCGCCTCGTTATAAACACAGGTCACCGATACACAATTATACCACAGAAATTCTATGCTGAGATACCCCCTAACACATAGTAAATGGCATATTCATCACAAAAATATAACTCGTCTGGTGAGATATTGCGCATGCCGCTAAACAACTAACGTTAGCCAGATTGATGTACTGTCGGTATAGGTCAGCGGGGACTACATGCTAAGGTCTTCTTCCTGTTTTCTCGAGATGCTACTGATTCGGAATGTTATCATATAAACTTCATTAGGTAACTCCTCCTCATTTTAAATACATGTTTGCAAACAAATATGTTTGCAAAACATTCTTCTTCTTGAGAGATATTTATTAAGGTTGCCTGTTGCCTCGACATAGATCTTAATTATTATACGTTACACTTATATACTCAGGAATTGCTCACATTAGCATACATTAGCATACATTAACATACATTAGCATACATTAGCAGCCTTGCTCATCATTCCTCCGATCCCTGAGTACACGCAAGCACGAGTAAACGTGTTTGAGAATTTGATTACATTTTTATAATTTCCTGTCAGCCGAAATGAAAGATGATTTGGAGACACGTACGTATTGGTGCAAATGCCGTTTGATCTGAATCTTCTGCACGTTGCTCTTTTTGTGAAACCTTGAAAAATGCCACAAACCCCAACTGGTTACCCGCTACCGCTAAAGGCACCTCATGGCACACACACACACACACACACCCACACACACACACCACACACACACGCACACACACCACAACACCACCACCAAACACACACACACACACACACGCCGCGCACGCACGCGACGCACGCACACGACGCAAGCAGCACGCGCGCGCATGCACAGACACACACCACACACCAGCACACACACCACACACCACACACACACACACACACACACACACACACACACTGACTTTGTTGTGTGTGCCTTCGCTTGTACGCATGCAGGACGCAGAAGATAAGCTTACAAACGCACATGTCAGCGCGAGCGTGGCAGATGCACTGTTACTACATGGCAACAGGCGGCTGCGGACTAGTAGTTATGGGAGCTCTGCAACTCTTTCCCACGCCTGTCTGTTATATGGGCGGCAGTTAAACCACGACGACGTTGCAGTTCGATATCTTTATTCCCGACCGTCTTCTCGCTGGGCAATGTAATACAATGCCGGACCATAACTGAACCTATATGTCGTATAGAATAAATGTCAAGCTCTTATTACCGGTGCCTGTCCACCATGCACCTAACCCTTCATCCGAGGTGTATATTTACCCAGCTCACATGACTTCGCGGCAGAGATGGATCCATGAATTACTACGTAGGGGCGTTGCAGAGCAGCGAAAACCCGGGCACTAACGTCCGCGCGCGCATGCGTGCTGGTACCCGGAGAGAACCTGCAGAATCCGTGGTACCTAAAAGGAGACTGTAGCATTCCTAGTACACAGAGACTACGTAGTATACGTGGTACCCAGAGGGAAGCTGTAGCACCCGCGGTACCTAGAAGGATGCTGTGACATCCGCGGTGACTGGAGGGAGGCCGCGACATCCATGGTACCTATAGAAGGAAGTAGTGGCATTCGCGGTACTTAGAAGAAAGCTGTAGCATCCGCGGTACTGAGAGGGAGGCTGCACAAAGGCAGCGCTCCGTAGGTATCCCATAGGATATGAAGCTGGAAAGAAAGATGGCGTAATTGGTTATCCAGAAGGTAGCTGCACCTGCATGTGTACATGAAAATGGCGCACGAACGTCGGTCGCCGTTGACTGCCATAATCATTTTCTTCGGCCGATCTTATACGTTCAAACCAGAGCTGAGCGGGCCGACGGCACGTGTGCATGGTAAAATCCGATTGATAATATTCACTTTGCTCGCAGCATCACGCCCTGGGTTCCCACTTATGCTAATGTACATGAAAATGGCGTACGGACGTCGGTCGCCGATGACTGCCAAGAAAATCTTCTTCAGCCGATCTCATACGTTCAACCTAGAGCCCACGGCAGGTGTGTATGCCAAAATCTAATCTACAATGTTAACTTTGCTTGCAGCATCGCGCCACGATTCCCACCTATGCTAATGTACATGAAAATGGCGCACGGCCGTCGGTCGCCGTTGACTGCCAAGATAATTGTCTTCGGCCGATCTCATACGTTCAAAGTAGAGCCAGGCGGGCCCACGGCAGGTGTGTATACTAAAATCTAATCAACAATGTTAACTTTGTTCGCATCATCGCGCCACGATTCCACGCGCGTAGAGAATCAGCGATAATCGCGTGCGCGAAGATACATGCAGTGGTATCTCGTGCACGTGAAGCGGCGCAGAGCGAGAGTGATAGCATCCGTGGTACCCAGATCGAAGCTGCGGACAGAGCGCATCCGTAGCATCCCCCTAGGAGGCTGCGCATGCAGAGACCGAAGCATCCGCGGGCGATACATACGCGCAGAGACCAGCTGCGCAGAAACAGCAGCAGCAGCAGCAGTAGTGTTTTGGAGTTTGCCGTGTCGAGGTCCGACCGTGCATCGCTGCTGCTGGTAACGTTGATTGCAGCGGCGCTCCTCCTCCACTATACGTGTGTCAGTCTATACGCATTAATGTGTAATCGGCGAGCCTGCGTGTGTATAAATAGATGACGATCAACTCGGCTGTGCTCGAGCAGGCTGAATCGCATGAGCATGCGATGCGATGCAATGTGATGTGATGTGATGCGATGCAAGGCGGGCCCTTGATCGCATAATTCGCTTGCACGTGTACCACGAAGCTTCTATACTCGTGTCATTGCTCTGCTAATAGATTGGCAAGTATCTGCGCCCGGCATCACATCATCTTCGGATGCGGACATTCTGGCTTCATCTCGCTTCTCATCGAGGCACTCGAGCTCGTCTAGACAGTCGGGAGTTAGTTTTCCCCGCTAACTCGCTGAGCGGCCACGGAGCTATTCGTATTTCGTGTCGATTCCTCCTCGCCTGACCGGTAGCCATCGGCTAAACATGCCGGTGCCGAGGGCGATGCTACTGGTGGTGAGTGCTGCCGTGGTGGTGTCGTGGCTGACGGTAACGGAGGGGGCACGAAGGGGTTGTCTCACAGTGGAATCGTCCCCGGTCTCCGTCATCTGCCTCGGGTACACCAACGTGCCCGCGACCTTTCCGAATGACACTGAAAACCTGTGAGTATGCCGTGTTACTTCTTACACGTGTTGGCCCGAGAATAAATCTAACCCTCATCTCAAGTTTTTTTTTACAATGTCTGCGTGTATACATGCATGTGTCGTGCGGGCATCCCAATTACAGATACAGCCACTGGAATAGTGAGCGCAAATGCGGGCTGTTTGTAAGACGCAGATATTACTCATCTCTCTCATCTTTACGCGAGTGTCTGCTATATACTCGTGCACTTACAGCTAGTGCATCTGTTTATTGTATACCTGATTGGTTTAACGAACGTAATTATATTAATTGAAAACATTAATTGAACATTAACATTTTAAACATTATATCAACCTAGTTCAGCATAATTACAATTGGAGCAGTAATAGTTTTTTTCCGCATCATGCGTTTGCTGCCTTCTAACGTTCAATTGATATATGATTCGCTTATTCGTCGCTACGTGGCGTGTCCGTGTCTTTTAGACGTAGAGAGGGCTTCGATATCATAATAGAGAATTTCCATCAATCGTGCCGCTCTGATACAATCCTATACACTAAATAATAATCTTAATTCAATACATGACAGAGTACATAGGCCGCTTAACGCAAGCTTACTAATATGTTGGGCGATAGGTAGCTGAGGAAATTATCAAAAGTTTAAACATTTTGCATTTGTTTCTTCCGGTGCCGATCATATTATGTTCGGACTAATCGTCAGGGGCCAGTACAGACTACACTATTTACCATGAGTGCCGTCTACTTCGGAGCCGTAAGCGCTGCGAGAGTAAACCCAAATATATTGCACAACGTATCACTATGAATATCGAACTTAGCTGCGGCAATTTTAAAATACAACCCCGGCTCAGAAGTAATCGTTTTCCTAGACGAGCGAGCATAAGGGCTGCTAGTATACGCCTAGAACATCACCGTGAGATCGCCCCCTCTTGTAGCATCAAGCCACCCTCGGCGCGAAGCGGCCAGCGCCGCAGGGAGCCGATGCGACCACGGGCGGCGGGTGGTGGAGTCAGGGGATGTCAACTGTTACACCCTCGCACGATGGAGATTTAAATTATACACAAATGGAGCCGACATTCTTGCAAATTTTTCAGACAAGCAAAATTTTTTTTTGCTGGCGACTCCGGAGTGAGCAAGGGGGTTCTTTCGAACCACCCCCGACCCCTTTTCCATCGGCTACGGGCCTGTAATAATATTAACATTACTCGATATCTATAATCTATTCTATCATATATCTAATCTATCTCTCTATCTATCTATCTATCTAGTCTATCTACTATACTATGCTATCTACTATCTATCTACTATCTATCCTATCTATCCTGTCTATCTATCTAATCATCTATCTACTTATATCTTACCTTATTATTAGCTGCATTATCTATCCTATCTATCTATCTATCTTATCTAATCATATCTATCTATCTATCTAATCCCTATCTTATCTATCATCTTCTATCATCTATTCTATATCTATCTATCTTCTGCTCTATACTATTATCTATCTATCTATTTAGCTAGTTAGCTCTATTTAAGCTCATCTATCTATCTATCTATCTATTGATATCTATCTATCTATCTAATCTATCTATATTCTATGCTATCCATCCTATCTATTCATCTATCTATCTATCTATCGTAACTATTATGTATGTATGTATCTATCTATCTATCTATCATCTATCTATCTAATCTGGCTATCATCTATCGTATCCTAATCTATCTATCTGCTATCTATCTACTACTATCTATCTATCTATCCGTATCTACTATCTATCTACTATCTATCTATTCCTATCTGTCTTATCCTATCTCCTTATCTCTCCTATTACTCTATTTAGCTATTTAGGTATCTATATCATACTAATTAACTATCTATCTATCTATCATAGTCTATTCTCTACTATTTATTCTGATTCATACTATTTAGCTATCACTATCTATTATCTTATCATGTATGTATCATATCTATCTATCTATCTATGTATCTATCTATCTATCTATCCATCTATCTATATACAGCATGCGAGACGTACAGTCTATTTTAGCTGTGTATATAATCCGCAGACCGCCTTGCCTCCATGGCTCTCTGCGGCCTCGTTGGCCACGATATGCGCATTTATTCTCGTATTTATTTTCTCTGCAGAAAGTTTCAAGAGAGCGCCATCGGAGAGATAGGTTCTGGCGATTTTAACGTGTCCGGACTGACCCATCTCAAGACTCTGTAAGCATCGGGGTCACTCTCGCTATCACTTTCGCGAGGGCCAGCGTATAACCAGGCGTATAGTATATCGTCTGCCAGCAGACGGGCTTTTTGAAGATGCCAGGTTATCTTTTCGGGAAAGCGATTTATGTCGGCATAAAAAAAACGATGCAAATTTTGTCGTGACTTTTTTCGCTCAATTTTTTTTCGCGTTTTTTGTTTCATTGCTAATTTTTATTCTAATTTTATAACCGTTATTGCTTTATACGTGTTATTCGTTTAGCATTTTAATTAATTGACTGAAGGCTCGGTGTTATTCAATCTTTCATATGCTACGCGAACACGACTTCTTATAATGTATTAAATAACGTAACCTCGCTCACAACTGCCCTCCAAGCTTGCATTCTCTGCAACTGAGGACCATTCCTCTGCCTAGTGCCATGCAATCGCTACTATATAGCAAGCAATATACGAGCAGGACCTCCCAACCAGCATCTATATTGCTCTCCCATATATACACGGCGGGTGGCTCATGCAGCGAAGGTCGTGGTGTCATTGTACTGATACTGGCCTCAGCTGCTAACTTCAGTACCGACAAAACATGGGGGTCGCTATCCAGGGCCGGATCTAGCTTGTGGGAGACGATATTTGGGGTTGATATTTGAGTGAAGGCGTGCCGAAGGCAAGCAGCGCTAGGGTGTCCCCATTTTACTAGTATCATAACATCAAGAGTAAATGATAATCGATTATCTATATTAATAATCGATTGATAATCTATTATTATTCACTCCTGATAACATTAGTCAGTGGCTGAACGGGAGAGGGTTGCAACCCCACAAACCCCCCCTCTAGATCCGCCACTGCTATCAGAAACATTTTAGTCGTAATATTAGTCTTAGTCGTAATTTAGCAGTTTTTTTCACGGCTAGTACTATCCATTATCGTAGAGTTACGATGTCTCTGTCAACAACCGCCAATGTTTTGTAAATTTTGCTCTTCCTCCTGTTTTTTTTTCGATGCAGCCAAAACCGCATTGCTTATTCTGTAGTTCGTAAATAATCGTTTGCGAGACATCACGCTGTTTTTTTATGGTTTACTAGCAAATTTTTTTTACTAGCAGTGGGTCTCATCCGTTAGTAGTATAGGTTAATTGCCATTTAGGAGCTAACGTAGTTTCCATACCGATCACAAACAACTATAAATAACATCTGCATCGTAGCAGCTATAAGGATATAGCATAACAGCATTAACATAAGTATAAGCTGAAGCATATAGCATTCAGGAACGAAAAATGTGCGACGCCTTGGATACACGTCAACGAACGCATCACTGTATAGGAGCAGCAGGTCTATCAGTGTTATACTCTATCAAGAATGTCATAATATAGATATCTATATTATGTTTTATATATTGATATGTATAGTGTATATTATAGGAGCAGCAGGTCTATCAGTGTTATACTCTATCAGGAGTGTCATAATATATATATATATATTATGTTTTATATATTGATATGTATAGTGTATATTATATATGTATATCTATATTATTAGATTAATATAGATATCTATCTATATTATGACACTCCCGACTCTATAACATCCAGTGCAGCTATCGGGGAGCTAGGTAAGCATCATGAAGCTGGCTGCCTGGCGAATGACATCCGTCACGTTGGTACTGACTACTGAGGAATAAATGCCAGAATGCATAAACAAAATGCAGTCGATGCAAGTTGGCGTGTATATATATATATATATATATATATATATATATATAATATTATCAAGAATGTATAATATAGACTATATATTATAGGCCTACTATAGAATATAGATTATT